TACTCAGGGTTTAGAGAAGACATTGTAGGAAAAAGGGAAACCATATTTCCTAACTACACCTTCACTGAATTCTGTTGAATAGTATGGTTTACCAACAGGCTGGATGTGTTGAGAACCACCTGTGTTTTAAGGTGCACGGACTTGCACTCCAGCTTCATTGGCTGACTTTCTGAGGGATAGAAATCTACCCACTGACAGAAATCTCCTGACCAAGTGAATGGAGAAAGGTGGAGGTGGCCAAACAGTTTGTTTCCCTGCCTCAGAACTCCTGCCAAGGTCCGACTGGCAGGCCTGTGGAGAAGGATATCTTCTTATTTACAGAAAAGCACATCTGTGCATTTCCAGACCATAGCATGACATTTCCTCAAACATACAAAACACATATTTGTCTATAAGAATTCACCTATAGAAAAGCCTACACAAAGACAGTATGGAGTACTGGAAAGCACATGCATTTTGTCATTGCACAGGTATGCTCAGGAGCTGGCATATAGTAAGTGAGTAATAAACCAGACATAGAATGAAAGAAAGGATTGTTTGCTCATATTTTCTCCACTATTCCTCTCCTTCCCAAATATAATCCTTCATCCCACCCAAACTTTCATGTTTCTGAACATTTCTGTTCTCTGCCTCAACTAATACAGGGACCAGGAGGCAGTACCACATAGTGGTCAAGAGTTCAGGAGCTGGAGATAGTCTCTGGCTTTGAATGCTAGCTCTTCCATTACTGGCTGTGTGATCTCAAGCATGCTGTGTGTGTACTTATTACTTACTTATTAACGTACTTACTAAGCCTTGCCTGTAAATGGGGGTAACGATAGCACCTATACTTCACTAGACTACTGTGAGAATTAAAAGAGATAATGCGAGCATGTAGTGGATTGAATTATGTCCCCCCAAAACTCACTGAAGCTTGAATTGTGTCCCCCAAGTTTTATGTATTAGAAACTTAGCCCCCAACTGTGACTGCTAAGAGGGTGGTAAATCCTATTATGGTAATTGAAAAGTGGAGTCTTGAAGAGATGATTGGATTATAGGACCATTCAGTAGTGAATGGATAATAATGGGGGTCAGGGGCGTGGTTCTGAGGGCTTTAAAAAGAGAGTTAATGAGGAGGTTACGCTCTCTGCTCTGCTGTCTGTGCTCCACCATTTTGGCAATGTGATACTCTATCATCACTATCGCCACCATCAAGACCCTCACCAGGTGGTCTTTGGACTTCCCAGCCTCAGAAACTGTAAGCAATAAATTTAGTTTTCTTTTTAAGTCACTCGTTTTGAGTATTTTGTCATAAGCAACAGAAACAGACTAATACAAAGCACAAGACTTAGCACTGTGCTTGGCAAATGAGTCTTCAAAAATGTCATTTATTACAATGATCATAATCATCTCTCATCACACCTATTTATATTATTATTGTTTCTGGAGCAAAATACGAAGCAGTAAGTTTTACATGATCAATGTGATATATTAGGAAACTTCAAACCAAAGCTTTTATTCATCATTCCTTTTATCCATTAGACTCCCTGGAGATTAACTTTTAGCAAAGAAAATGAACAGCTTGTATAAAACACAAACACATAACCAGAAATTCATAATAAAAAAGATCTGACTTCCATGGTAGATTTTTGTATATTGTAAAGGCAGCGAGAGGCATTTCAAATCCCCAAGAATACAATGAGTTCTCATTAGACTATAACTACACTAGAAAAGAAAAAAATAACTAGATCAGTTTTAGAAAGCCTACCTTAGAGGCAGCAAATGTAATTTAAAGATATAGGTTTCAACTTAAGATATTAACAAATAGAGGGGTTTATACTACATAGAATCTTTTAGTTCAGATCTATATTCTATTATTTTCTAGAAACAAACGAGTCATGGAATCACTGCAGTACACACACTTCAAAATAATAAGGAATTATCCAGACAGACAAATGCTGTGGGAAGCCATCAAAGTATGTTTTAACTGATATATAAAATCAAAATATGAAATAAAAATAATTTGTCCTTCCCGTTCTCCTTTCAACTTTCTCGCTATATTCTACCTACACATTATATTTTTGTTGGCCAAATTAATACATTCTAATTTGCCCCAAGAATCTCTAATTGCATGACAATCATGCTAAATTTGTTGTCAACATTTTTCTTCTAATACTTGTGCAGCCATGCAAAGAGAAGTGTATATTAAAGCCTTTTCATTCATCATTTACTTGCTTATTAATTTGGAGATTAAATTTGGTTTTCATAACAATTTTTCATCCATAATACTGGCTTTTATAATTCTACCTCTAGAGTTTGATGTTCCTTCTTTATGAGGAAATAAACTGTTAAATTGTACAACAGAGCAAGTAATGAAAGATTCTGGCTAAATAAGTTTTGTAAAAACCGGAGAATTTGCTCTACACAAATGGGCAAATTTCTAAATATGTAGAAGACTTCAAAAGACATTTAACTTTAAAACTATATATATTTTTAAAAATCTAAGGTTGTATTACTAATGGAGAAGATATTTCAGGATGCTACAGTCCCAATGGCCATTTTTAAAAACAGTGTCCATCATTGTTTATATATGTTTTCCAGTGCTGGATATAGTGCTCTAGCCAATGGGATGCCAGGTAAACTAGCTTTTACTCCACCAGTCTGCCCCACGAGAACTCTTAGGTTGAGCAAGAATGCAGTCCTACCAGAACCTACCAAAATTGTAAACATTCTGAATTAGAGAAATCCTGACTTAGACAATTTAATTATCATTCATATATAATTGACCTAGGCATACAGATATTCCTTTTAATAGTAGAGCCAAAATTAAGGATAGACTTTTAAAGTCCCGAGTCAAGTGGATAATGATTATATAAACATAATCAAGTATGAGGTTTAATATTTTCTTTGTATAGTAAAAAGAAAAATCTGCCTTACTGGATCCAGTTTACATTTTGAAAAACTCAGATGATATAGGGTTCTAGGTCCAGTCAGTAAATAAATTAAGTACAATCAATTTTCACAGACTTCTAGAAGAGGGTACTTCAAAAAGTTCGTAGAAAAATACATAAGGCTGGCCAGTTAGCTCACTTGGTTTGAGCATGGTGCTGATAACACCGAGGTCAAGGGTTCAGATCCCTGTACAGGACAGTTGCACAAAATAAAAGATAATATGAATCATTCCATGAACTTTTTGAAGTACCCTCATACATATATTAGTTTTCCATTGCTGCTATGAGAAAGTCTCCCGGGCTAAAATCAAGATTAGCAGGGTTGTGTTCTTCTCTGCAGGTGCTAGGAGAGAATTCCATTTCCTTACCTTTTCCAGCTTCTAGAAGCTGCCTGCACTCCCAGAATCATGCCCCGCTTCCTCCGTCTTTAAAGCCAGAAACATAGCATCTTCAAATCTCTCTCTGACTGTGACCCTTCTTCTGCTTTCTTCTTCCACTTTAAAGACCCTTGTGATTACACTGGGCTCATCAGGATAATCCAGGATAATCCCCCTAATTTAAGGTCAGCCGATTTGCAACCTTAATTCCATGTGCAACCTTAATTCTCCCTTGCTATGTAACCTAACATATTCACAAGTTCCAGCCAGGAATTTGGATGTGGGCATCTTTGTGGGGATGGGGGAGGTCATTATTCTGCCTATCACAGTATATATCAGATTTATATCTAAACCCATAATATTCAATTCCATATTTACCAAAGCAAATTAAAATTCTTTAATACTTTTACTATTATTGTTATTATACTGTGCAATAAAAATGTAAAAAATTAGAAAAATATTCTAAATTTGGATTACATTATCACATCTTCTTTTCGAGACATATCAATTTGCCCAGACTCTGATTTCTTTCCATTCATGCTTGTACCCATTTGACACCAATCAACTGCTTTGACACCTTGTTCTCAAGGTTATCACAACTAAGTACAGTGCAGATTGTACACTGACAAGCAATAAATTCCCCTAAGACAATGTAGCATAGATTGCTTTTTATATTTATTATAAGTTAAGGCAACATTTTTTTTACCCTGAAGATACATTTTAGACCACAATAAAAGCTTTGTAAGAAAACACTATTTCACTAACAGTGGCTTTCCATACATATTTTTCAGGAAGAGGGATATTGGAAGAGCAGTAGTATTGGCATGGATTTTGGAGATACTATGTCCCATTTTAGGAATGATATAAAGGAAACTTGACTTAGAGATCTCCAACTGACTTCCCTGAGGTCACACAGCTAATCTAGGAGAAAGCTGTCTCCTGATAATACTATAAGTGAGCAGTCTCACAATTATGATGCCGTTCACCTTACACATAAAACAGAGTCAACTACAGCTCTTATCACTACATGACATTGTAAATCAACAGCTTTACTAACTTCCACTTCAAGCAATCATAGAACTAGTATTATATCACTCTGTCCCATGACAATACATAGATTAAGCCAAGGATCAAGTTCTACTCAGACCCTGCGTAAATTACACGTAATTTATAAAATGTCACATAATACAAAAAACAGCATGCAGAAAGAAGACACTAAGGTGACAACAAACGCAAGAATGATGAGTCTAAAGTAATAATGGAGATAATGTCCTTAAGACAAAGAAAAACTTAGAAATATTTATCTTTCATGATAAATCACTTTCTGGTAGATTAATATAAGAGTACAGAAATTTTCACAAGAATTTTATACGAGAAATAAAAACAGTTTAGAATCAGTACAGTTTAAGAAACATCATTATGTCAAGAGTATTTAGAAATTTCGTCATTTTATCCAAATATTTTAATTTCTGACTTAAAAATATCAGCTAAACACACCTGTAGCCCTATCCTAATAAATGTTGTTTTCACTCTGACTTTAAAACTAACTTCTTTCAAATATTAAGTATATATATTTCCTTCAGATAATAGGACTGAATTCCATTTCTAAAAGTTATGGGGCAAAGGGAGGGGAACCTCTTAAGTTAAAACTTTATTTTCTTGGTATAATAAAGGCGAATTAAAATCAACTTACTTGATGTAATAGGGCACTTTATTATGTGAAATGGATCTTTGCCACGGCAGCTGCACTGAAGCTGAGGAAACAAAGGGAGATTATTGGAAACATTGTTAACTCACACCTTACACCATAATGTGAAAAAACTGAACACATTTTACAGCAAATTCACTGGGAACTGCTCTGGTTTTTGAGCTGAATTCCTATAATTATGAGGCACTAGGCCAAACAAAGAACAACTTTAAAGATTGATTCGAAGTGAGGAAAGAAACAACACAGGTTCCATTTCTAATGCCAACTCTAACTGAACCTGTTGATAAAAATACTTTTAAAAAATCAGGTTTTATTGTTTATAAACACCACAATCTAAAACTTAGTGCCGTCTGGGAACTATATTCTGTATATACGAGGGTATTTCAAAGAGTTCATGTAAAGATTTGTATTATCTTTCACTTCTATTTTTCCACGAACTTTCTGAAGTACTCATATTTTTTCAAAAAGCTAAAATCAATATTAATTTTACTTGGTAGGTCCAGATTAAAAACTAGATTTCTCAGGACTGAATTTTCCAGATCACGAATAACTTTATTTTGCATCATATTCACAGGAATAGCTATTGTGTACAGGTGGCATTTAAACAAAATCAATTACATGAAATAAAAAAAAAGAAACAAATGAAATAAAAATAGGCAAAGGGTTGCAAAGAACCAAGGCAATCATCTGGGCATGAAAATTCCAATTATTTATTTTCATCTGAAATGCATAGAAAGCACAGTTTCTTACTTTTGCAGTAGACATTACTATGACTGAGATTTTTTTTTTAATTGAGGTACTTATTTTTTACAATTCAGTTACTTCTTATTTATAAAAATATATTGTTCCTACATTCAACCAATAATTTTCAGACTTATTTAAGAAGAGTAGTACATGTGAATCTAGAGCTATAAAGAAATTTTGCTGAATGAACTAATAAGAAAATTCAAATAAAACTTTGCAAATATCACTAGACCTTCATGTCGCCAATGATTTTTTTTTTCTTCCTGAATTGCATGCCGTATTAGTATCTTACAAATAGATAGCATTCTAAACTTTGCCAAGCACTTTTTAAATACATCTTTTGGTACGGAAGCCAGCAAGATACACATTAAAGTTCCATTTGATAGATGAGAAACTAAATACATAGAGATAAAATAACTTGACCAAAGACTGACGGCCAATAAACAAGCAGCCAGGCTCAGATATGACCTCAGGATTTCTGGACACTAGTTCAGCAATTTTTCTACTCAACAGTTCTTCCTCTTTTTATAAAACGCAAGCACGCCTTTCTCCAACTATGTCCATAAAAGTATAAAATAAAGATGAAAATGAGGAACTAGGTATATGAAACTTCTCATTAGAGGCAACCTCATTCAGCCTTGGCACCAGGCTAATAGGTCACTTTTTATTTTGTGCCTAACTAAACAGGCCTCTTTTATAACCATGGCTAATGTCCAAGAAATCTAATAAAGCCAAAGATTCCAGCAAGGGAAAACAGTTATTAAATTTAATAATTGGGATTTTGTTTACACTTCTTCATTCATTTTAATAATTATTTTGATTTGAGTAACATCAACTTCCTTGGACTGTCGGCGCTAGAAAATAAAAGGCTAAGAGCTTGAGTTTCACAAAATGTGTGTGAACTTTACAATATTTCATTTCCTAAAGAACATGACCTTGATTTCATCATGAGAGAGCGGTTGCTAGGTGAAAGCACAGAGTTTCTTCAACATTAGTAGATAACTGATCCTTAGAACTGTAAAGAGAGTCTCAATCATTTTGTAAACTGCTCTCTAATTTGGTCTTAATACATAGCATCATATTCTATAAAATTAAGTTTAAGAAACCTGGAATAGTTAATACTTAATGTGTATACTGCAAACCTATTTATTTCATCAACATTGACAGTATCCAAACTTTAAAACCACATTCTGGCATCCAGGTAGAGAGTATTTTACAGGAAAGATGACATATCACTCAAAGATGTACTACCTAAGGACTCAGGTTTGTAAAACAGAAAATGTGTGTGTGTGTATATGTGTGTGTGTGAGAGAGAGAGAGAGACAGAGATGCGGGAGGGAGTGATGGAAGGGTAAGAAATGGCTGATTAGGATTCTTAAAATTGTGTAAGAAAGCCTGACCTTTAATTAAGGTAAAGCAGTTTATCAACAGTGTCAGAAAGCTTAAGAGAAATTATAAACATTATTAATTCAGTTGGAATACATATTACCTCAGTTTTCTCTACGGTTATAGTTACAAAGAAGTTGTCATCATTGAGAAATAAGCTTTGCTCTAAGTTTTAAACCTTACTTAAATTGAATTAAATTAAACAAATTGCTTTCTTATATGTATTTGCCAAAGAAAATGAAGGGAAAAAAATTAATATTTACTAAAAGTATTTGTATGAAGAACTGTGTGCTAGGTGCTTTGTGCAACCTGATATGCCTTGTCATTTAATTCTCAAAACAACCAGAGAAAAATAGATATTATGGTATGTCAAGGCAAGGAAATTAACTTTAAAATTCACAGGTCTGCTAAAAGGCAGAGTGAATGTTTAAACTCAATCTGGGTGACTCTAAATCCTACCTTCTTTATTATCCTCAGTGGTGAACGATAAAGTAGGAGGTCAAATTATATATTCAAGATCTCTAATTATTTATTCAAGAATAGTCCATAAAATTAAAAATTCCAGTCAAAGAATATGACAAAAATCTACATACATGGTTTGTCTAAAACTGGAATACCTGACCAGAAGAAAAGTATGATCGCAGTGAGCCTAATAAACCAAAATCTTCTCATTTAAAGATTCGTGGAGAGTAATTTTTTTTTCTTTAAAAGCTACAGGTGCATTTTAAACTAATGAGCACTTTTTAAGGAAAAAAATTAATTAAAAATATTTAAATATAAAAATGAGTTTTTATTGTGAAAAAGTTCATAACATTTGCATATGAAAAAGTAATGACGATAGAACGCTATATTAGGTATCAAAACAGATGGTCTAGTGAAAAACTATAGCTAAGATGAAATGATTTTTGTTTCACTTCAAAGACATCAATTGTCATCATATTATCACAAATAATAACCAGTAAACAATATTTTCATTAATGTTAATACCTTCTTTTGTGCATTTATCTAAGTAAATATATTTATAGTAAATAATATGGCTTCTTGAACGACAGAGAGAGAATATGCTAATTCTCAGTCAGTGAGATCAGTCAGGTTTGTTTGTACTTACTAGAGAGAAAATGCTGGGAGGATGGTCCAAAATCTCTGTGGGCTTCCTGAAGCTGTTTAAGGCGATCATCCACAGAAACCTGCACATGCATAAATGCAAGATGATGTAATAACTCAATCTCAAAGTAATAACTTATGAATAACCTTGACTTAAATACTGTGATAAATGATGCTACTGCCCAAGATATGATTGCTTGTATGGACCCCTTCTCTATCTCTGGTATCAAAGTAATGGTATGAAAATAGACTCCTTCTGGCATCAAGAAACAGTAAGTAATACCAGGTACTCTTCTAAGCAATTTATGCAAATTAACTTTATAATCCTCACAATAACCATTTTGGAAAAGTATTATTATCACCACCATTTTACTGATGAAGACATCGAGACACAAAGAGGTACCAAGGAAATAAAGCTAGTGAGTGGCAGTGCTGGCATTCATACCCCTGGACACCTGGTGCCAGAGTCTATGCCCTGTTGTTATGCACTGCCTCTAAGGCAAGACACTGTCTCTAAAGCAGCTAAAGTCAAGATGTGGCCACGGGATCAGTGGCCACTCATCTCCCTTTTATAAGAAGGATGGCAAAAAGTGCTATAGGAAACAAATGAAAAAGAAATCTAAAATACTCCAGGAGAAAAACAGATGACTGGATAGATAGATGGAAGGATAGATAGAAGATAGACAAAGTGAAAAGACATGTGGCGTAGAATGTCTTCTTTTCCGCCAAGTTTGTATTTGATCATCTCTACATGGGGTTGAGATGTATATTCAAGTGTATACCGGCAGTTTAATATACTCTGTATGTTTGTTTACACACATTCTATAGTTAGTTCTCTACATTATGAAAATGCAAAGAATTGCAACACTGAGAAACTAAGTGCAAATCAATAACAACTGCACACTGCCTACTGACACTTCCATTTCCTTTTTTCCTGGTTTTTGTATAGGTAGTGGTAGTCATTGTTCCACTCAGATTGACAATCTTGTTTTCCGTTGCCTTTGAATGAATCTTGTGTATGTCTGGCTCACTGGGCCGCTCTAGTCTCTCTTAGATAGTTATTTAAACTGCATTAATATATACTTTGTTCATTAATGCCAAAAAGTATTTCACATGCCGTGCTTTAGGAGTAAAGAAAATGCTACTCCTGAAATTTAGCAATGTTGCCTGCTGGCATAGATTTTTCTCTTCTCGTCCAACTAGCAGCTAACATCTGAGCCCTAGCAGTTACCAGGATCATAGATAAGGATGAAAGAGTATGTGTCCTCTTTCAAGAGTAACATATTCCCTGATTTCTAATCTTTGGAGATGGTGAGAACAGAAACAGAATGGAAAGTAAATCAAGATGGACCACAGGAAAATCCACATGAGGATAATGAATCAGAGAAATGGAACAGAAGAAATAAAGAATAAAGATCAAACACTTCTGTAATTCCACTCACTAGAAAAGCACATACAAATTTATCACATTTTGCTTTACTAATCCCAGATTATTAACACTTTTTGCAAAGACAGAAAAGACTGCCAAATACTAATGCTAATTTCTTACCTCTTCAATTTCATTAAGAAAATGTAAACCATTGGGCATTTTGATACTTGAATTAATTCAGGAAACCTATTATACTATAAAACACTATACCTTTAAAATAAAATGCTTTATGTGCTACATCAAAATTGCATATTTATCTTATTAAATATCACATTTTAGGCCCCAAATATAGAAAGAAATTAGTAAAAAAAATTAGTTTTTCAATATTTTACTTAAATTAACCTGCAAGTTTTCAGGTAAAAAAAAAAAAAAATATATATATATATATATATATATGATTATCATGACTCCTGGGAACTCGGCTGAATGTGACAAAGCTCCACAAAAGCTGAGTCATATATGCCTGATTGGCACATGCAGTGGCTTGCAAATGCTGATACCAAGTAATACGAAACAGCAGCCCATGGTTTGACTTATTAAACCTGAGATGAGCAAGTAAGTTCTGGAGCCATTAAAACAACTGCATTAGAGCACCTAAGATGTAAGAGCTAAAAGTAAACACCACAATAGTATAAATGTGCTATCTGAAAAAAAAATAAGCAAGATACCTAAATAGCAACCACTTGGAAGAAAAAGTATGGAGACTTTAAAACTATGATGAAGGTAAGATAAATGACTTCTTTATAAGCCATTATGGGAAAAATGTTTCTGTGACCTACCATAGGTTTCAATTACTGTGATTTATTTGACCTTTTGCAATTTTCTACAAGTATCATATGAATAGTACATCAAAAAAATTACATTAAAATCTATATTCATGAATAAATAAGGCCCTTAGGTTCAAGATACTGAAAGACAAATACCCAATATCATCTCATGCTAAGTTCATTATCAAATACAATAATAAAGAAAGAGAAAATGATGGTGTGTAGTAGAATAATAAGGCAGGTTTAAAGGCCACCCAAGACTGCATGAGGAAGGGCGATAAGCTGATACCTGTAAAAGTTTCCACCGCATATTAAGGTCATCGAGCTGGCGAGACATCTTTACAGATGGATGCAAGTCAAGGGGAGACAGCTGACTGGACAAATCATTCACTGTTTTAACTTTTAAGTTGATTGGTGCAATTTCTTCTCTAAATGCCTGAAAGAAAAGGACAGAAAAGATGTCATCAGAAAAGAATATAACAAAGCTCGTATTTCCAACTTTCCTTCAAAGATAATGGCAAGACCAGCTTAGAGGCCACCAACTCTACTTGCCCAGTCGACAACAGCAGACATAATTCAGGTCTTCAGTAACCAGATGATCAGTCAAAGAGTCACCCTTTATTACCCAGAGAATCTAAATAGGCGTGTGAAGAGAAAAATCATAATGCAAACTCATCTAAATGATTATGTATTTCTTTCATATTTTTAATGACGTACAATTTAGTATAGAAAATGTCTGCCATTATTTTCCACTTTACTGATTTCTAGTCTTGATTCTATAATTTTCTTTCATATTTTCCTTTTGTTTCCTACATTAATACAGCTACCTTAGTATTTTTTCACCTGATGCACCAATTTAATTTGAACATGTTTCCATTTACAATTAAGTTAGAAAGTGGCCAGTAAAAACAACATTGCTAACCACAAAACCCATGCCTATTATATTCTCAAGAGGTAAAGTTTGTCCTTTCAAAATCATTTATGATCACTGTCTGTGGTTAGGGGTGCGGTAGGAAGAGTGGAGTCTATGGGAAGAGAAGTAAATGAGTCTTAGAACTGACAAATGCCACCTCCAAGCACGGTACAGAGAGCTGATATGTACGGGGACAGAGGGTGTATGTGAAGAGGGGAAGAAAAAATGAAAAATATTTTGAACCAATGGCAGTAATATGTACCATAAGAGCAAACAGAATATGGAGAACAGTATGTTTTCTCCATTCTTCACATAATTCCACCTGTGGTACAGAGAGCTGATATGTACGGGGACAGAGGGTGTATGTGAAGAGGGGAAGAAAAAATGAAAAATATTTTGAACCAATGGCAGTAATATGTACTATAAGAGCAAACAGAATATGGAGAACAGTATGTTTTCTCCATTCTTCACATAATTCCACCTGCTTCTCTGTTTATGTTCCCTTTTTCCAGCGAAATCTGCCAAGACCCTAAGGATCCTTTAAAAGACTCAGCCCAGTGCCCTTCCCATCAGGAAGATTTCCCTGAGGCCTGTCCCTTTGAAGCCTCCACTGGAGGCCCCTCCCATGCGTCTCCAGGCGTTCTCTCTACGTCTCCAGGCGTTCTCTCTGTTCTATCCATCCCAGCCAGGTCTTTCAGCCAGCACACACTGGACACACAGTGAATATTAGCATGGGGATATTCTGACTGCTTGGTGCAGTACCAAACCAGTTGTTAAATATTTTAAATATCAGCTCTTATCAGAGCACTTAGTACTTGGTATTATGAGCATCCATACTCTTGATGTCCCCAACAGACACTCTCCAGTATGCAGCACAAAGCTTGCCACACAAGAGAGGCAGAATTCATTTCTATCGACAAAGGAATTTTATCTTTTCTATATTCCTCACCCCTTAAGAGAGTAGGCATATGTCCATGAGCCCCTTTCTTTCACCATTCCAAGTTTAGTTAAGGAAATAATATGCAGTCACACGTCATTTGGCAGCAGGGATACGTTCTGAGAAACTCATCGCTGGGTGATTTCGTCCTTGTATGAACATCATAGAGTGGACTTACACAGACCTGGATGGTACAGCCTAGTTCACACCTAGGCTATATGGTATAGCCTATGCTTCCTAGGCTACAAACAGTACAGCATGTCACTGTGCTGAACACAATGATAATTATTTGTGTATCTAAACATCTCTAAACATAGAAGAGGTACAGTAAAAACATGGTATTATAATCTTATGGTGCCACTGGCCAAAAAGTCATTAAGTGGCATATGGCCATATATCAAACTGCTTTGAAGACTATAAAGTTTTATTAAAACACTGTAGTATTAATTTGACTTCTTGTTGATGCTTATAAAAAGAAAGCCTCTTTAACCACTTCCCTCTTTCCTTCTCTCTTCCAAAACTTTTTTGGTTACCTCTTATAACTCCCCCTTATATAACATAGCAGAATACACCATGCCACTTTGGCATAAGGCTAATTTTGAGTTAAAGACATTTAAAAAAAACAGCAGGTACAAGAAGGGCACTGTGACTCTCCACATTTTTTAATGAGAGCAGAAGATAAAACCCCCATATGGAAGATGTCCTCCCTACACCAGGAGGAAAGTAACCTTCCCATCACCAGGCATGGGAAGTTGGGACTGAGAGATTCTGTACAAACAGACCTCATCAAAATAATTCCTATCTTCTTTTAGTCTCTCCACATAATCTGGTCACTTTTCCATAACTGCCTGCCTTTTAAAACCGCGTCTCCAGGCGTTCTCTCTGCTCTATCCATCCCAGCCAGGTCTTTCAGCCAGCACACACTGGACACACAGTGAATATTAGCATGGGGACATTCTGACTGCTTGGTGCAGTACCAAACCAGTTGTTAAATATTTTAAATATCAGCTCTTATCAGAGCACTTAGTACTTGGTATTATGAGCATCCATACTCTTGATGTCCCCAACAGACACTCTCCAGTATGCAGCACAAAGCTTGCCACACAAGAGAGGCAGAATTCATTTCTGTCGACAAAGGAATTTTATCTTTTCTATATTCCTCACCCCTTAAGAGAGTAGGCATATATCCATGAGCCCCTTTCTTTCACCATTCCAAGTTTAGTTAAGGAAATAATATGCAGTCACACGTCATTTGGCAGCAGGGATACGTTCTGAGAAACTCATCGTTGGGTGATTTCGTCCTTGTATGAACATCATAGAGTGGACTTACACAGACCTGGATGGTACAGCCTAGTATACACCTAGGCTATATGGTATAGCCTTTGCTTCCTAGGCTACAAACCTGTGCAGCATGTCACTGTACTGAACACAATGATAATTATTTGTGTATCTAAACATCTCTAAACATAGAAGAGGTACAGTAAAAACATGGTATTATAATCTTATGGGGCCACTGGCCAAAAAGTCATTAAGTGGCATATGGCCATATATAAAACTGCTTTGAAGACTATAAAGTTTTATTAAAACACTGTAGTATTAATTTGACTTCTTGCTGATGCTTATAAAAAGAAAGCCTCTTTAACCACTTCCCTCTTTCCTTCTCTCTTCCAAAACTTTTTTGGTTACCTCTTATAACTCCCCCTTATATAACATAGCAGAATACACCATGCCACTTTGGCATAAGGCTAATTTTGAGTTAAAGACATTTAAAAAAAACAGCAGGTACAAGAAGGGCACTGTGACTCTCCACATTTTTTAATGAGAGCAGAAGATAAAACCCCCATATGGAAGATGTCCTCCCTACACCAGGAGGAAAGTAACCTTCCCATCACCAGGCATGGGAAGTTGGGACTGAGAGATTCTGTACAAACAGACCTCATCAAAATAATTCCTATCTTCTTTTAGTCTCTCCACATAATCTGGTCACTTTTCCATAACTGCCTGCCTTTTAAAACCTAATATAAAGTTATTTTGATTTTGCCACTTCTTTGAGTCTTCATTTCCTTATGGGGGCTCCTGTGTCACATAAAAACTTACATAAAATAAAACTGTATGCTTTTCTCCTGTTAATTTGTCTTATGTCAGTCTAAGGTTCAGGCCCAGATGAAAAACTCTAAGAGGGCAGAGGTAAAATTTTGCCTCCTCTACAAATGTAGAGAAAAATCATAAGGCTAAAGACAATCATCATGGTTGGTAAACATCAAAGTAATATTCAGTCAACTTTATTTTTAAAAAGAAATTTGAGTTTAGGCAAATCAAAGAATATAGTGTTTCAAATTCTTGAATATGCTCAGAAGCCACTTGAAGAAGATCAAGGTGGGATGATCAGTGAACAGTCAGAAAAATAGACCTGGAGCCCAGAGTCAGCATAAAAGATACAAACATTGGAGGTAGCGGTGTATAAACGATACCTGAAACAGTGAATGTAGAAGTCAATGTGCATTAAATAAGATCTATCACCAGAACCCCAACACCAACATTTCGAAGACAGGTAGAAGAAGGAAAGCCCACAAAGACATGGGAATTGCTGCAGCATGGAAGGAGAAAGAATTTAGAGTTGAGGCCATTTTTCTCCATTGCTGCAGATGTTGAGCTTTCATGGAGGACAATGTACACACCAGACAGATATGCGAATACAGTTAAATGAGAAAAGCAGCTGTATGGTAACAGATGTATTATAGGAGTAAAGAATTAACAGTTACTACAGATGCATGGAACAGAGGGAAGTGCGGGTTAGGGTGCAGAAAGAGAATTTTTCAGCCTGGAATTTGAGGAGGCCAGGGTTCCCTTAGATTCAGTCTGAGGATAATTATAGAACTCAGATCCTTCAAGGTTTATTCAATCATGATTTTAACTTTACACATTAATATTTTCTCTATGGACCCAAGAACTGTAATCAGCTTTTAAAGTCAACATCTTTTTGTTTTTTAGGTATTAAAGATTAAAAATAAAATGCTAGAAAATGTTCTGATGTTTATATAATTTTAAATAACCAGTTTTATTTCAAAAGGTGATAAAAGTTTTTTTTAATTAGACTATAACTTTGACAGGTTTTAAAACTCAAATTGAACGATAAAGGAGTTTAAATTTTTCCTCTATAGAAATAATGTTTTTCTATTATAAGCCACAGGTGAAAACAATAATAGAGCTTTGACAAACAAGGTCTTTGGGTTTTGTTTTTGCTTTTATGGTCAGGTGTTTTACAACAATGAGGAATCTTTCTGTCAAGCAAGTTTATCTTTGTTTTTTAAGGGCTTCCAAATTAAGGGACTTGATATAAAGCAAGTTTTAAAATGGTTTCAGAACTGCCATGTATTCTAGTATAAAGAATCAATTTATCATGTTTGACTGCACTTTCCTATAAGACAATAAGAGCCTATGTGGCCTTCCTTGCTATAAAAACAGAAACATCTGTTAATAGCAAAGGTGTTATCTGGCAGACTGTTGGCAGGTGTGAATACCAAACCCTTCTCCTGCCAGAAGGTGTGCATTCTGCAAATAAGAATTGAGGATTAATATTAATTGATATTATAATATTAATTGATAATTTGAAGGAGTTAAAATTATTTAATTAACACCCCCAAATTCTGTTTTCTGTTCACCTTGGCATATCTAATAATATTTAGCAGTAATCAGTACTTATTTTTATCTGCCCATAGCTTCAATAGGATGTGGGGTATACTTTAAAGCACATGTAAAACATCCAGACTTTGAATCTATTTTATTTGGCTTAATGAGACACAAGTTTTTATTTTCTCTTTTCCTAACAAGATGTTAAAATATTTTAACCCAAGGAATATTTTATTCCTTTCTATTAAAATAGTAATTATATTTTTCCTAGGTTTCCACTTAAGAAGAAATTTGAAAAAAAAAAAAAGGACTTGGATATAAAAGTTGGCAATTCCTTTAATCAAATGGGATTAACAACTCCCAAACTTGAGGACCTTTAATAATTCCAGATACAATTTTTCATTTCCGCGTCCCCCCAATACTAATCATTGTGTATTATAAACTGATACTTTCAAAATCAAATTGGTAAATTCTTGCTTTAACCAAGAGGCACTTTTGCAGTCCAACAGGACATACTTTTTGTAAACCACTAACTTAAAGATTTTCACTATTTAAAACTATTTATTAAATTACAAGAAGTGTACAAATTCCAAAGAAGCTATGCTAAAGGCTTTTTTTTTCAGTGCTTTAGTTTAAACTCAGGTCCATCCGTGGAAGTGGTTTTTAGGATCCTAGGGTTGTAGGGAGAAGCCTACTTAATTCATATAGGAGCTGGAAACATATGAATATTCACATTGAAAGAAGGCAGACACCAACACTCTAAAAAAAGTTTAAGTTTAAAATTTAATATTTAACTTTTAAAGCTTTAAATTCAAATAGTTGGACAAAGTTGGGTGAAAAAAGTCCCTGCAGTGAAAGAGAAGAGAAAAAAATCATGGAAACACAACTACTTCATTTGTAAAACGGGCAGCATAATAACACGAATCTTATTGAGCTGGTGTGAAGATTAAAAGAGATATCTATGTAAACTGGCTAAGAACAGTTCTTGGCACAAAGTAAAGCTTCAATAAATCAAAACCACATTGAGATATCATCTCACCCTGTTAGACTGGCTATTATCAAAAAAAAAAAAAAAAAGGACTTGGATATAAAAGTTGGCAATTCCTTTAATCAAATGGGATTAACAACTCCCAAACTTGAGGACCTTTAATAATTCCAGATACAATTTTTCATTTCCGCGTCCCCCCAATACTAATCATTGTGTATTATAAACTGATACTTTCAAAATCAAATTGGTAAATTCTTGCTTTAACCAAGAGGCACTTTTGCAGTCCAACAGGACATACTTTTTGTAAACCACTAACTTAAAGATTTTCACTATTTAAAACTATTTATTAAATTACAAGAAGTGTACAAATTCCAAAGAAGCTATGCTAAAGGCTTTTTTTTTCAGTGCTTTAGTTTAAACTCAGGTCCATCCGTGGAAGTGGTTTTTAGGATCCTAGGGTTGTAGGGAGAAGCCTACTTAATTCATATAGGAGCTGGAAACATATGAATATTCACATTGAAAGAAGGCAGACACCAACACTCTAAAAAAAGTTTAAGTTTAAAATTTAATATTTAACTTTTAAAGCTTTAAATTCAAATAGTTGGACAAAGTTGGGTGAAAAAAGTCCCTGCAGTGAAAGAGAAGAGAAAAAAATCATGGAAACACAACTACTTCATTTGTAAAACGGGCAGCATAATAACACGAATCTTATTGAGCTGGTGTGAAGATTAAAAGAGATATCTATGTAAACTGGCTAAGAACAGTTCTTGGCACAAAGTAAAGCTTCAATAAATCAAAACCACATTGAGATATCATCTCACCCTGTTAGACTGGCTATTATCAAAAAAGACAGAAAATAACAAATGCTGGCAAGGATGTGGAAAAGGGGGAACCCTTATACATTGCTGGTGGGACTGTAAATTAGCACAGCAATTATGGAAAAACATATGGAGGTTTCTCAAACTACAGATAGAACTACGAAGTGTCCCAGCAATCCCCCTACTGGGTAATATACCCAAAGGAATGGAAATCATGTTGAAGCGATACCTGCAATCTCATGTTCATTGCAGCTGTATTTATAATAGCTAAAATATGGAACCAACCTAAGTGTCCATTGTAGGATGATTGCATAAAGAAAATGTGGTATGTGTGTATATATATATATACATACACATACATACATACACACACACACACATGGAATACTACTCAGCCATAAAAAAGAATGAAATTCTGCCATTCACAGCAGCATGGACAAACTTGAAGAAAATTATGTTAAGCTGAATAAGCCAGGCACAGAAAGAGGAATACTGCATGTCCTCAGTTATATGTGGAACCAGAACAAAAACCAAAATCAAATAAAGTATAATAATAGTAATAAGTGGAACTATTAAAAGAAGATAGAAGAACTGGGGTTACTAGATGTGGGAAAGGAGAGGAAGAGAGGGGAAACTGAGAGGATGGTTAATGGACACAAAATTACATCTAGATAGAAAAAATAAGTTCTGTTGGTATCCAATAAACTCAGCAATCTATAATTAACAATGATTTACTGCAAGTTATCGGATAACTAGAAGAGAGGAGATCCAAATACCATAAAGAAATGATTAAGTTTACAGTGATGAATATGCTAAATACCTTCATTAGATCTTCACACATTGTATACATGTATTGAAATATAACTCTGTATCTCATAAATATGTACAACCAATATGTTTAAATAAAGAGTAAATTTAAAAAATAAAGAAACAAAATCATTGAAACAAAAAAAGGCAGCTATAATTATTATTCTATGTCTACACATGCATATATTCACTCATGTAATTTACCTAAGTATTCAGTTAATTTCCGAGATCTTCATTCTTTCCTATTCAGCTACATTTATACAAAGGGAGAATGTTATCCGATGTCTGTGTACAAAATGGAACTTTGGCAATAAAAGTTCCATTCATGATAGATATTGGCAGTCTAACACCTTCTAATTTTTCATTGGTTTATCTTTTCATTCTATTCATGACTACATAGTATACAGTCTACTGTGCTACTACAAACCCTACTGCACTCTAAATCTGTTATTCATGTCTCTTGTCAACTAAATTTCATTAACTTTCCTCTGGAGTTGTTCTAGATTATTGGAACCATAGGGGGTCTACACGACAGGTCTAACATCCTTAACTTTGAACAATTCCTGACTACAAACAGAATTTATAGTTAAACTAATCCTTCAGTAATATGCTCAGACAATGAGATAAAATTTTTAGATAATTCTCAGTAAAATAGTATGCTTTTAAATAAAATTCTAAATCCAACTACCAATTTACAGGAAATACAGAGTAGAGAGGAATCTGTAGACTACACCATGTAGATACAATTCTGCAAAATCCAAGCTATGGGAAACACTATAAAACAAAAAAATCCTGTTTCTTTAACAAAGAAATTGCAAGAAAAAGAAAAAGGGGATTGAGGGGAAACCTGGATATTAAAAAAGACTTAAATATTTCTTATGAAACAGGTAAACCTAATCTATATTGCTTAGGAAAGCACAGTTAGGTGAAAAAAAGAATAAAGAAAAATAAAAGTAAATTATTATAAAATTGCTTCACCATATGGGAAGCACCTGTCGTGACTCCTGACTCAAGTGGGTGTTACAGTGGTGTTGGCTTTATAACAACCCCTTCTAGCAATTTATAGATGTGACTCTCTATATTTGTATCATATTTAACAATAAAATATTTCTTGAAAATCCTTTGCCTTAGGCAGTGATGCTGACCATGGTTTTTTCGATGTGATCCTGCAGCGAGTCGATGAGTAGGTCTCCCACGGGTTTCCAGCCATTCCGCACGGCCTCTGCCTCCTTCATATCAGCATCCAGGTCGTCCATGGCTCCCTGCAGGTCTCTGAGCTTCTCCAACGCCTTGTCCACTTGCTTTTGCCAATTGCTAGTGACAGCATTTAGACTTTCCCACTTCTCTTTGACTTCAGAAGATTGTTTGCGCATGGCTTTGGCAATCTTTTGGGCTCGTTCCTCAGGAGTCAATTCTGTGATTTAAAAAAAAAAAAAAAGAAAAGAAAAGCAGTAGTTTGAATGTTTGACCAATTGCACATTCTTTATAGCCAATAAAGAATATCACCTTTCAAAGGGTTGCTACCAGGTATACAGAGACAGAGTCACACTGGCCAGGGTAAGAAAAAATTTCTCCATGCGTCCTCTGTTAATTTCCCACTATACCTAAACATATGCTCAAAAGAAAAAGAAAATAGTTACTCAGATTAATAAAAGGCCCAGAGTTTTTAGCCACTTCTGAATTTTAATATATTTGTAAACCCTGAATTGTAACAAGATAACACAAGAAATAAAACAATTTTTCTTTACTGTAAATTTAGTTACATAAAATCCAAAGTCACTTTTTCATTTCATTGTTCTCAAGAGAAATGAGAAGTGTAATTAGTAGAGAATAGCTATAAACAAAGAGGAAAAACTCTCAGAAAATAAGAATAATTTATTGTGTTTCTAAAAAAGTAACTGAAGACAAACAACATATCTTAGATACTTCATTATCTCTAAGTCTGTTTGGCAGTTCATTTTTTATAAAGGGTGTTTTTCTGCAGCCCAGAAATGAAGCACCTCCACAAACATTTCGACAGGAAGATAGCAAGATCGCAGGCACCATCCTAAATATGTGATACAGCAAGAGGGCTTCCAGAATGTCCAAAATAAACTTGGACTTTCAGACAGAAAGGGCAGGCCACGGGATGGGGGCAGAAAGAGTGCAAATCCAGAAGAAAAGCAAAGGATACAGACAGAAATCAAAGTCAAGTTCAAAGGCAAGGGTCAGAAACACAAAGACAGTGAGCTGACAAGACAAGGGCAGAGGAATGTGATGCACCCAGGGGACACTGTCAAAGCAGGCTGGACAGGTCTCCAGCACAGCCAAACACTCCTGGGGCCTCACTACCAGCTACATCTGAAGACACCTCCTTTCCTATCCCACTGGTTTGATAGTATCATCCTGATTGTCCACTGGAAACAGAGGCAGGTCAGAAACACACAATCAAGGTAAACTAGATTAAGACAGAAATGCATATTCTCCTTTGTGATAACATCCCATCTTTTAATATCAATCATATTAGCAATTTCCACTTCGCCTCAAAACATCCCAAATCATTCATAAAATGGAAGTTCATTGAACTTCATGGTAAGATGAACTTCACCGAAAGATAAACTGAAGCAAGCTCCCCTAAACTATAATTTTCATTCTCAACATAAATGTGCCTGCCTATCTGTCTTTATTTAAATATTATTTAAAAGTCATTAAAGGGGACAGAACACATACGTTTGTCTATCTAAATTTGCAGAAAATTCTAAACATTGATAATTAGACTTAAAGCAGCTTAACTGCAATAAATCTCTGGGAACCAAATAGACTTTACAGTCTATTTTACTCTACTTTACAGAGTTCAACAACCACAGAACTGTGAGCTGTGCTGTTGAAGTGCTGTGAGGCTACAAGACAGACTTGAATAATCCCTTGGCAACTAAGTTGAGGAAAAGAAGACAAAACATCACAACTGGTAGATAGGGTGAATATACGAGTACAAGATAAATAAGAAAATGTATGTGAATAGAGAACCAGCTTCAAGCAACAGTCAGGGGACAGAGTTAAGCCTGGAGAATAGTCCTAAAACATACAGCATGTCTGAGAAAAGATTTCTGAAGAAAGATATGTCATTAGAAAAGCAAACCTTATGTCAATCCTTATAACGTCAAGATATTTACAAAATGATACACATAATATTTACATTACATATATTTTATATAAAATATTATGTGTGAGAGGCAAATATCGTGC